TATTATTATTATTATTATATATATATATATATATATATATATATATATACATACACATATATATACATGTATATATATACTTAATCAAAAATTCTGACTTGAATGCAGCACACCCATTATTTAAAGTAAAATATTAAAATTTTATTTAGATTAAACATATAAAAACAAAAAAGTGCAAATTTTAAAATTAGTAATTAATATAAAGTTAAATATGATTTTGTGCTTAAGTCAGTTAATAATTTGTGGTCATTGAACTTCCTCTGCTTGATTACCTTTTTTTTAATGACCCTGCTCTTGCTTCCTTTAATAATTATAATTAATATATCCTGATTCACAGTCTTAATAATTAATATTATTTATTTTCAATATGTATTTATAAAATATTTTAAGACCTTATATATGAAACTCACAATGCATTATATATAGTTATTTATGTAGTGTTCTTATCCTACTTTGCTACTCTTAATAATTCGCCTTGTCTTACCTTAAAAATGGTTAAGATACTTTATGTTATAAAATTAAATTAATATTAAATATATATATATATATATATTGTGATTTGGCTAAGTTTTATTAAGGATAGCTTAAGACTTTACCAGATTATTAAGTACATAAGTTAAAATGTACATAACTTAAGTCAAGTTAAGCTACTAGTAAGATATGTTGTAAATTCGATTTTTTATTAATATTATCCATTTATTATTCATTGAACAAATTCATTTAGTTATATTTATATTTAATCATATTATATGTATATGAAAAATTATTTATAATCTACAGCTTATTGATTATGTTAAATTAAGATATTATTAATTTTGATAACTTTTTTACTTGAAAATTTTTTATTTTAATATCAAAATTTTTATATTTATATAATGTAGTAACTGTTCAGTACTCAAATAGGTATGTTACTTCTTTGTTCTTTATATATTTATTCCTTTTTGGTGGCTGCATTCAAGAAGTCAATATATTTAACGAGTACAACAAATGAATTTTTTTTTTATCCATTTTATTATTTGAACAAGACATATACTTTACTGTAATTGAGATGATATGCATTGATGGATATATATTTATAATGTAATTGATAGTCTTTTGTGATATCTTGAAAACAAAATATTAACAAAAGAATATTGATGCTTTACATATTAAATATCATTAACAATCTTTTAAAGAAGAAGCATATAAGTATTTAAAAACTTCTTTAAATCAGCCATCATAAATTTATTATAGATTAAGTATTTTAAGTTTATGAATATTTAAAATGAACATTACTATATTACTATATAAATTTTTGTAAAATAAATGTTTACAAAATATTAAAAAATACATATTTACACTGACATTAACAAAATTATATGTAAGATACTATAAATACGTTTTTCCAAATTAATAATAATTATCATTTATACAATAAAAGATAGTTAATGTAAAGATGTACAAATAAATGAAAGAAGAAAGAAATAAAATGTAATATTGATGGTATGATAAAAATTTTAAATGTTGGGGTTATATAAAAGAAATGTATTTTTTGTATAAATATATGGGGCATCTTTTGATATACTCTCTCACGTTTGGACGACAGGATTCGGCTTTCTCAGTTTCGAGGATGAAGATGCAGTGGACCGATGCGTAGCGGAGCATTTCGTCAACTTGAATGGAAAACAGGTATAGCATACCTACACACTAGTATATATTATATATTATTAGATTACTGTAATGTAAAATAATAATAAGTACGAATAAGTATGACAATTTACTGTTATGTATCATATAATTTTATATAATTATATTAGTTATAGTACTTATTTTATTTTACACAATTTTCTCATACTATGTTACTCTTAACAACTGTATGTTTAGTTCTTATTATATAAGTATCAATTTAAAAGAACAAAACGTTTAGAATATCGTACATATGCGTTATATGGCAAGTCAAAAATTAGAATATATTTAGAATCGATGTAAGACTTGGCGAGTTTTAAAGGTTTAATCTTACACTCTTATGAAGAAAAAGAGAATTAAAATTAAGGTATAAATAGGATTATTTTTATTCGATCGAAATCGAAATCCTATTTCATATCTCTTAATTCGAATCGTGAAATATGAACGATAATGATTTTCATTCGGATTGTTTGATTATTTTTGATTACAGGTTGAAATCAAACGCGCAGAACCAAGAGATTCTTCTAGCAAAATGAATGATAGTCATCAAGGTCAGTGGGGACCACCTCAACAGGGTGGACCTCCAATGGGAATGGCTGGGAATATGGGACCTATGGGTGGTCCAAATGGACAGATGAGTGGACCTATGATGGGAGGTCCAATGGGTCCACCAGGAAATATGATGCAGCAGTATCAAGGTTGGGGTACCAGTCCTCAAACTGGAGGATATGCTGCTGGATATACTCAGTATAATTCTCAGGGCTGGGGTGCACCACCTGGCCCTCCTCAGCAACAACAAATTCCACCACCACCACATCATCAATGGGGTAGTAGTTACAATGTTCAACCTGCAGCAGCTACTCAAGGTTATGGAAGTTATGGTAAGTCTTTAGCATAATTTTCTTAGCTTACTCTTGTTTAAATTTTTTTTTTTAATATTAATAATTTTTTAATCTCAATACTCGTAAGTAAGTAAGTAACATAATATTTTTCATAAATTTTAAATTTAGAATTATTAATTTATAAATTTAATTTAAAAATCTTGATTTTATATTTTTTTAGAGGATAATATATGATAAGTTTAACAATAAACTTTTATCCTATCCTCTTCCTCTCTATCCTCGGTGAGAAAACAATAAAAATAAGAATATGAAAATATAAATATAAATATCTATAATATACAATTAATCATTTTTTTTTTTTTTTAAATACTCTTTGGAGGTTATTATAGAAAGAGAATACAATAGGACATCATAAATGTACATTAATTAATATCAAATTATATCAATGACTCATTATTCATTTCTCATATGTTTTTAATATCATGTCTATTTTCTATATTGTAACAAATTGCATTTTTTTTTGTTTTAATTTATAATTTAAAACTTACAGTTTTATTTCAGAGTAATTTAAATTTCAACATCATGTTTTCTTCCTTCATGCTTGTTTTCTTTAAAGAATATGAAATAAATATAAGATTTAAAAAAAAATGTATTTTTATATTTCTCTTTATTTTTCTCGGTTAAAAAATTATTTAATGATTGCCGATGTGTTTATCGTTCATCAGAATCTCGATATTCGTAGTCCCAATATATATTTCTTTACAATTTTAAATATATTCTTATCGCAATGTTAATTTTATTATTTACTGAGGGAATCAAGCATGGATGTTTAAATGAAACGGTATTGGACACTAAGAATGCTAAAGAAAACGAACTATTTTAGTGCCAAGGACAGTAACAATATGGGGAAAATTACCTGAAAGTACTTATTTTTAAAATTTATCGCAATAAAATAATTTACTCGGCTTTACTTTGGAAAGTTTTCAGGTAAGATTTTTTCGACTCATAAATATGAAAGAAATTGGAAAACAGTTTCTCAAATAGAGAGTTACAGTATTCTTTCAATAATTCCTCTAGTAAAATTTCTCTAAAATGTAATGTTCATTTCTTTTATTATATATTTTCGAAATTACAAAAATCGAAATTAAAGTTATACGATTTGATTGATGCGTTTTTGGCACTAAAACGATGACTTATAGTAATAAGAAGTTTGGAGAAAACGGTGTGACATATTTTGTGTGATTGATAATCGCAGGTGGGCCGGCAGCGGCCGCTTCAGGGGGCTATGGGCCCACAGCGGGTACTGGCGGGGCTGCGGGGGGCGGGCCCGGGGGTTCTTGGAACTCCTGGAATATGCCACAAAATGGGCCCCCTCCTGGGACTCAGCCACCACCTCAGCCCCCTCAGCCTAACTCCTCGCAGCCCAACTCCAACTCGAACCCCTCTGGCCCGCAGGGTGAGTCTTCAACCTCAGTCAAACAAACTCTTTCCTCTTTCCACCCTTTCGCATCATACAGTTCTATTTTCACATAGTCGAGCCTGGCTATAAATTATTTTATTTTATTATCTATTGATTTTTTTTTGTCTTTCTTTCTTTCTCTTCTTCTTTCTCTATCTGTCTAAACTAGAAAAGAAAAAAAAAATATTTTTTTATACGTATATGATAATTAACTAATTAGAAAATCATTATCACTGGTCGTATCAGGGTGTGTTTGTACACAGACTGATCATTATTTTTAATAACGATCGATAAACACGCGGCGAAGTGAGACGGCATGATTGTAATTTGGCGTGATATATCGAGAGAGATCATGCTTCGCTTATTAACAGTATTTTTTATTGCGGAAAAATTTATTGTACAGTTAAGTATTTCCTTTAGATCGTCCACAAGAAATGTAATGCCTGTTTCTTTTATAATAACTTTTGTCTGTTAACATACAATAAATTAATGTTATTGGCTTTTGGAGTTCACCGAGAGATGAGTTTTTCGTGCATTGAGGTTGGAAGAACGAGAAACCGAAGAATTTTAAATTATGTTGTAAATGGAAGAGAAAAATTTATTTTTTACTGAATAAAATTTGAATCCTATTACGATCCTCTGCTGTTCCTCGATTCCTTAATATTTGCACATTCGTTGGTTCGTTTAATTATCTGGTAATTTTTACATGTCTTTGCGCTTGTTCTCTTTTTTGCGTCTAGAATGTTGAGAGCATGTAATTTCATTTGTACAAATTATAAATATACGTAGTTTTAATGCAGATCAATTTAGGATTATGAAAAATGTAAATCACAAATCGTTTTATATATCTTTATTAGTATATAAAGGTAGAGAGCTACGCTTAGAATATTCGTTATGCTTACAAACGTTTTAGACAAGATTCAGTGGATATCGTAGTATTGTAATCATCGGCATTCCGCACTTATTCATCCATTACATCACTCTTAATTTTTGTAATTTTTTAATCCGAAATCGATCATTTTTTTGTCCTATTTGTAATCCAATACAAGTATTTTCTTTCTACTTTCATTCGTTGTTTTTTAATACCTCCCAGAAAAGTAATTGGCCAGTGTTCCTTTAGTTGTCGTATTTTTTTTTAGAGTAGACTAGATATTTGCAAATAATTTTTTAAGTGTATTTATATTCTTCTGATCTATTGTAATGCCATTGTAAAAAAAGGAATATAAAAATTTTGAATTTGTAAAAAAAAAAAAAAAAATGTACTATAATGTAGTATAGTGCAATCCTGATCTCGTTTCTCCCATTTCCTTTGTCGACCAGTATAATCTGAATCGAATTCATATCTGTTCGAATCTTAATTTTTTTTATCTTATACCTTTTTTTGCAACTTCTTACTAGATTTTCTTTATCAAAATTCGCTTCGATTTAGTTTTACATATATATTATATATAATAAGATTATAATAAGATTCTTTAACAGCAATTTTTATTCCTAATAACGATAGATGTTGATCCGTTTGCAATCTTCTGAGATCAGTACAGAATTCTCTGCTTATTTTGCATAATCAATCTTTAATATAAAATTAACGTAAACTGCATTCGTTTTTTTTTTTTTAATTTTCTCACGATGCTTTCCATTTACATGTAACATCTGTTCTCTAAACATAAAACTGATCTCGATAATTTTAATATAATCCCTCTATATTTTGAAAATATTCCTTATTATATATTCCTGTAAAAAAAAAAAAAAAGACGAGAGATATATTTTAGATACTTTCGTTCAATCGTTTTTAATTCATCAATATATATATATATATATACACACACAAATATTCATAAATCCAATATATTATTGAAGATTAATTATTCTTCGATAGCTTGAAAGTGTCATGAAAAGTATCAAAAATGTATCTTCTTTACCGTGGGAAGAAGTATATCCCACAGCTTATGAATAAACGAAACGAGGTAAGTGGGGAAGTTGGATAATACGATGAAAATCAATGTTCCAGGTGACATGTATTCACGACAGACCACCGGCTCAGGTGCACCTGGGTCCAGTAGCAGTTCAGCTAAAACTCCGGATTATACTGGGTACTCTGCATATGGTAATTACGCTGACACCAGTTATCCTCAGCGTTCGTATCAAGGAGGAGAAAGCAACCAAGGTGGGTATGCCGCCAGCGCCCCTAAACCCCAGCAAGGCTTTGATTTCAAAGAGTGGCCCACCTCATGACCATTTTAATTGACCCGTGATGGAGAGATGCGCTGAATGGCTTGGCCTTGCTCGTGGGTTATTTCATATTACATATTTAAAAAAAAAAAATAAATAAATAAAAAAAACAAAAGAAAAAAATAAAAAAAAAACAAGAGATATTGCGCATTGATCGTGAGAATCTGCGCTCGATTCTTGGGACATTCTTTGGTTATATTCTATTTATATTTAACAGTAATAAGAAACAGATTTTATTTTCAGCATCTTGGTGGTAAATTGTTGCGAGAAGAACTTCGGGGAGTTTGATACTATTTTCTTTTTCTTTCTTACAGAATTTATCGTCGATTGTGTGATTGTCGAATCGAAATACCGTACTCGAGATTTTTATTTAATTCGATGTTTTTTAACTTCTTGAGAAATTTTGTCGGGAAATTGTTCGTACAAAGAATGTCTCCATCGAGCCGGTATGTCGTTCGCGAGCGGTCGTACTTCTTTAACGATCTTGATGAAACATATAATAACTTTTCGACATATCTTTTTTGGCAATCGAAAAAAAGAGAAATGCATCTTGCCCAAGTTTGTAAAACGGAAGCGTCAAAGAAAATAGGGTGTGTTAGGTTTCTCGAAACATTGATTTCATTGATCGCTCGCGTGAACGGCCCATGATCTTGTTGGGTTTCAAAAGTACAGTGGAAACAATTGAAACCACAGGTTGAAAGATAGAAGACGTAAACTGAAAGAAACATAAAGCAAAGCAGAGATGAAATATAAAAAAATGATAGGATAAAAATGGACACCCATGGTGCAAGCGAATTTTGTATGGCACTGGGATAGAGGGTAGGAAGCGGAACATAGAAGTATTATAAGAGTTAAACTAGAACAGATGGAATAAGTGAACATTAAAGCATTAAAGTAAAAAGCGAGTGTAAAGAAATGTAAGGAATGCTGAGCATTAATTACACAACAGCATTCGAACGGGGGTGAATGAGATTTCGTTTTTGAGATATTAATTCTCAGTAGATGGCACAAATTTCGATGCTCGTTCACCTTTTTGATACTTTTAGTGAACTCTTCGGTAATTTGAAAATAAGAATATTAAGTAAAATGAAATACTATTATATTACGGTCTCCAGTGGAAGTCAGTGATTGACTTGCACATTTGAGACACCCGTCCCTCCACGATCTCGTATTTATTAAAATAGTTGTTATGCTGGAATGATGGAAAAAAGAAAATGAGTAACGAGTAATTAACGAAATAATTAAGTAAGGTGTTCACACAGGCTGACTTATAATCTAAACTACAGAGATAGTGTAAAATAAATAGATCCTTTTAATATGATGTATGTATATCTATAACTCTATGACAGCAGGGTGCAGTTTCCTTAAGAATATGTTTTCTTCTCTTTCTAGTTTTTTTTATCTTCACGACGTATCATTATTACTATATATATTAGACGTATCGATGTCTAATTCCCTTTTTTCTTACTTTCTTTCGCTTTTAACTTTATCTAATTTAGGTTGTCTGGTCCTTTTCCGTTTCCATCAATAAAATAATTTTTATCGTTTCTGGAAGGAAGAGGACGAGAAAAGAAATACATAAATAAATAAATAAAAAAAGATAATGAATTTTTTAATGAAAAATAAATAATTTGTATAATAAGAATAATTGGTCCGTCAGACGGGTTTCTGTACGGTCACATTATTGCATTAAATGTGAAAATTAGTTTATTTTTTACTTCGGATTTATAATAGTTAATTATTAGGCATGTTTAAGATTACAATTATTGTTACTATTAATTAATTACTTCTATGATAATTATTACTATTATACTACTACTTACCATTATAAACTATTTACAGCTATTTATCACTACTTACTGTTGCGACTGCTCCTACTGCAACCATTATGATTGCAACTATTATACACACTATTATTACTGTCTATGATAATTACAAATATTGTACGATGATGCTTATAAGTGTTTAAATTTTTAGATGATTAGAGATGAAAAGAGATCATGATATCTAATTGATGGAGGGAGGGGTATTTGTAATTTGTGCGGTGTACTCGGGGCGGGGGGCCTCGATCTGAAAAGTCTACCTGATTAAATATATGACTTAATTGTATTTACTCTGTAGGATTTACCATAGTTCTAAACAAGAAATATTTCGGAAGAATGCTCTCAAATGCTCATGTTTATTACTGAGCGGGTCGCGTTGTGTCTTACTTTGTCAATAAGAATCGCAAGTATTAACGCTAATGTAATTTTAAATTTTTTACGATGTCAAAATATAATCAGTAGGTTACAATTAATAACGGAACAGCAATTTGAGTAAGCTTCCTCACTATTGATCTCAATACGATTAGGGTTTTCTTTCCCTTCATATAGTGTCTAATTGTTTTCTTGTCAAATTGTTACAACTACTGTTTTTTTCTTTTTCCCCTACTTTTCTTATCATTATTTTTTTTTTTTTTTTACATTTTTCATTTCACTTATTATAATACGAACATTACGAACTCTCGCGATATAATAAGGCGACTTTTCAAGTTTTTTAAATCGTTGACGACGTTAAAAAAAAGAAAAAAATATCAATTACTCCTGTACTTATTCCGCACGTCTATCTAAACTGCTCGTTACCATTTCCAATTCGGTAAATTTAATTAACAGTATCGCGTAGTTAATCGTAGAAACAGGGATACGTAAAAGTCAATGGGATGAAGAGAAAGCATTAACAAACGCGACTCGTGGAAACTTCTGGGATCAACGCAATAACACATTTACTGACTACTAAACTAAATGACAAGAAAAAAAAAAAAACGAGTTAGGGAGCTCAATCAAACGAATACCACTTTTTACACTAATTGTTATGATAATTACACGAACACAGATACTCTCAACAGATACACATTTCTACACATACACTTCTACGCGCATAAAAAAAAGTAAATTAATTAAAACAGAGGCCACAAGTTATTGAACATCCAAATAATAGTAAATTAATAAGATGCTAAAATAGATAAAGAAAAAAAAATAAAATAAAATGAAAGAGATGACTTTGTGGTTGTACGTAATTAAATAATACGTTATTTAATACCTATTTGAGAGGCAGAGAGAGAGAGAGAAAGAAAGGGAGGGAGAGAATGAGAGGGAGAGAAAGGTTAGAGAGATTGTGACAGGAGAAAATTTAGAAAGAACGAGAGAGAGAGAGAGAGAGAGAGAGAGAGAGAGAGAGAGAGCGCGAGA